CAGAACAGAAGGAGAGATGTAATTAAGAACGATATGAAACTAGGAGTGCCTGAAGATTTTACCAAATATGGAGAGTTTACAAACACAACGCAGAAGAACAAGAGGAGAGGAGGAGAAGAAGACAAACTTGTTTCATCTGAAAAGTTATATCATAAATAGCCTAATCGAACTTACAAATTAAACAGTTAACAGTCGGCATGAAACCGCACAAAAAGTAAAAAAACAAAATGCGAGAAGCATTCCTCTTTACCTTTCTTTTACTATGTGATCCACACGATACAACGGCCTTGCCTCACGTAACTTTTGCTCCGTGTCACGTTGCCTAAGGGTGATGGCCTTTTTCAGCTTCCGCAAGTACACCTATAAAATACTAGAGCACTTTGCAAACGGTAGTTAATCTTTGGCTCGAGGGCTCTCGGTCAGTGCAGGAGTCGTCAACTGTGACACACTGATTCAAGGCGAGGGTCATGTAAAAGGCTGATATAACAAGTGGTCAAATTTAATTACAATGTACTGTACAATTACCGACCTTAATGCTGAGGTAAAAAGCACCGAAAGGTAGTCAGTCGTATGTAATGCATTGGGGTTCATTCCATTTTTATTTGCTATTCTACGTTTGTTCCATTTACTATTCGTAATTGTTTTCTATCTTTTGTTTTCTTTTTAACTTCAAGTATATGTGATACTTAGAGATCCCAGCTCCAGGGTGTGATAACCGTGCTGTTCAAAGTTCATTCGCTATTTTGACTATGACGCCATTCTACTTTTCTTACATTGTGCATAAAATATTTTGTTTCTTTGTAGAAAAACGACTTCCTTTCAAGAGAACGTGTAAAAATACAAAGGTTGTTATTTCAAAACATGCCGTCGAGGTTCACTGAGAGAACGAAGAAAACCCGGTAAAGTTGACAACCGTGAGGATGTCGGTTTCTAGAACACGTCATCGATGGGCTTAAATTTGTAGTACCTCTGCTTCATGGAACTCCTGGAGAGTCTCACTTGTTTTTAAAGACAATGTCTGAAACTTGTACCTTGATGACAACTACAATATGTAGTCTCCTACTTTTTTTTACTTAACGGTATTCTTTGTTAAAATGAAGAGCTGAAAAGACAAATCATCGTTATTCGCTGATGACCCTTCGTATTGCTAATGTGCATTAGATTACCGTTGGCTTTCGCTATGAGAAGGTTGACAGCATCTGCGTTTGTGCGAAGCTGAACCTCAACCCAGATCGAATTTTCTTTCCATTCTCCTTTTTGACAACAGTCAGGTCACTACAAGTTTTCGAACGATCAACAGGGATTCGTTTAAAGTAATGATGGCAGTGAGTATATCTGAGAAAGAGAAATCAAAGCAAAGGACATTTTCTGCTTTGAAAAAGGATCGTTGAAACTAATTTCAATAAATTCTCTTACCTTGTACTGCCGGAATGCTGAGATGATAGGTTCATGCTGCAGGAACGCGATATCCTTAGCGAAATACCAAGTGTTCACTGCAGTGCTACCTTTGTTAACCTTCTTCGGGTGGTGCGGCTCATGTGGGTAAATTCCTTTGATGATGCATAACCGCCTAGACAGAAAATTAAAACTTTATTGTCTATACGAATGAAACAAAAAAACTAATCAAAATGTACCGAAAGTCCTTCAGAGATAGTCGCAACTTCTTAAGGGCCTTCGTACGACTAATATAGGTGGTAGCCGAGCCTTTTTGAAACTAAAACAAATCGAGTCAATGAACGAAAATACCAATTTAATATTAGAAATGTAATAAGCAATAACAGAATAACAGGTACAGTACAATAACACAATACAAAATAAAACAATCAAACAACATGAAAACACCAAGGAAATATTATATCTAGCGACTACAAAACATGCTTCTAACTGACTGATCGGATATACAGCTTGGTTCAAAAATCTGCACATTTTACTCGATTCTCCATAACTGCGTTGCATGTTCTGATCTGTATTCATGCATCCACAACTCATCAATTCCATATTTAAGCTCCCCAGCTGATTAACTGATCGACAGTGATCTCAAAATTTTAGGAACACTTAATCAATGATTTCACTACTGAACAAAATAACAGATTTACAGCTATTTCATTGACTAAACAGCATCAGAAATAAAACAATTTTTGCATAAAATCAAAATTTGAAGTCGGAATCGGACGGATCATGAAGTGAACTCGGCATTCAGAGCCATTAGCAATGAGCTGCAATCTATTGAGCGAGATTTCTAAGCTAATCACTACTGCCACAAGAAACGAGGGGTAAAAATTTACCTTTTTCAGAAGTCTTCCCATCCTTACGGAAACTTCCTGCTGCTGCGCGGTAACACCACGGAATACGATAGATTATCTGGAAGGAATAATTTAAAAAGCAGTTGCTACGACAGTACCCCGTTAATAAATTATGTTTCAATCGAACAATTTTCCAAGGGTAAGAGTCTGAATGGAGAGTTGCTTTTCTCAGATTGGTACATTCTATTTATTTCTGTAAATAAAATAAAATTGTAAATATCTCTGCATGTTTTGCTGGTCTTACAGATGTAATGCAAAGACTATCCCGTAGTCGTTCACTTCCTAACGCATGATTGAGTAGGAGGCAGATCGACGTTCCGAAAGGATTTTTGACTTAATCAATTTGCTGTTTATAATTTCGACAAATCTAATATCCAAAAAAACTTGTTAAACGTGAATGTTAAAAAACCTGCGATGTGAATCAACAGACGGAAACAAAAAAAATGGCGAAAAAGAATATTTGAAGCGCTCTGTGCCATATTTTATACAATGTTAACTTCAAAAGGATTTCTTCAGGAATAAAGCAGTGAAGAAACCTTTATTTAAGGATACGGGGTCGCAGAATACTCCAGCCTTAGTTTCCCAACTGTATCGATTTTAAAGCCGAATTTCATTCCGTAAAATGTTTCGAGGCACCTGAGTGTTGTTTTCGTTTCAGAAGAGACATACAGAGAAGTCACATTTGATATTACAGTTGAAGTGTAAACTCTGAGCGATTTCTTATTATCTCTGGAGTTCGCCAGGGAAATACAGTATCGTCTTTGCTATTCAGTCATGTTTCCAGTCTTTTGTTCTAAACAGTGCTGGCACTGGCAAAGGCGAGGGTGTCATTTCAAATAAAAAGCAAAGTTAAAGATATCGAACTCAATTGTATTGACCTATAACGCACAGATGATATTTTCATGTGAGCGTTACTGGAGAAGTCATCATAAATTCAGGGTTTTTCAATGCAGCGCAGATGTGAATGAACGCATCTACCTTAACCTCCAGAGGTTAACACTAACGAAGAGTCCATTAGGCAGGGCTGATTGTCTAATGGAAGAGATGAAAAGCCACACAAGAATTCTGACCAATATAAATGTCTTTGCACGTTCATTTTAAGTGTTCTCACAATACTGTAGGAGTTAAACGTAGGATCGCCATCATATCCGTTTCTAAATATTTGTCATGAAATAGGGGATAATCCTTTGTGCAGCAATGTATTTTGATCTTACCCAGATAAGGTCGGTGTTGTTTGCATGGTGGAAACAGTGTTTGAACGAAAAAGCAAGAACGACGCTTCAACAGCTTATAACGGCGCTGACTTCGGCGCACGGTTAGCATTGAATGGCAGGATGATGTTAGCAGGGAATGCATCTACTTCTGATTACTGAAAACTTCTGTATATGAGCGAACAAGAAAAAAACTATCACCCTGTTGGTCAAACTGGTTGAGCATGAACCATTTGGTTCAGGCGTTGAGGTTTAGTTGGTATAAGGTATTCAAACTGTAGGAACACAATAAATGCGGATCTGGAGAAGAGTTGCTCCTTCTACGGTGCAACAAATTGTGCCTTATAGAAGAAGTCTTTTAAAGCTATGAGTTCAGTGGAAGTCCTAAAACATAAACGTTCTGTTTATGCAAACAAGTCAAAGTGATTATCGCACATTTAGGCATTTAACCACATTTTTTTTCGTATGGTACATTATTTTACGAAAAAAATTTTTTGTTAAGCACTATAGTCGCTATTATGACAACAACTGTTGTTTGCTCTGCAACAGCAAATTAGACGGCGTAAAGAGTTTCCTCTTGTTTCTCGATATCCTACTATTTATAATGGAGAGAAAAGTATTTTAAAGGCAAATTGCAAACAGTATTACCTGCCAATCATGTTCTCAGTCTACTTATTGTAACAAGTGCAGATCATGATTAATGGGATCAGATAGCTCGTATTTCCCTTCGCTTCAAGCAGCTTTTGGAATTCAGACGTGAATTGCTTTGCGACCGATTCATTGCGTCAGCATTACTATAAAACGTGATGACATGATCGCAACAGTTATGTATTTAGGCGTAAATAGCTGTTGTAGACAATTGTCTCCGACCAATTGTACGTTCAGTTCTTCCTCTCGTAGTTTCGGGCGGTGTATGGTGAACTGTACGTTGTGCCAGAATATATGCTTATAATATTTGGTTTAAAATTTAAAAAGCTTGCTCGTTTTTCTGCCCGTTGCGTTCTGCAGATTAGCGGAGAAGTAGTGGAACAGTTGAAGTTCGCCTACCCTGGGTTCATGTGCACTGGTGCTGAAAAATGGGAGAAAGAAATTAACCGGCGAACTGAAATAGTAAGCGATGTTCTGCGTGAACTAGCCCGAACTGTTGTGACTAAAGTAGAGCTGAGTCTGAAGACAGCTATCGGTGTTCAAGTTGTTCTTTATCCCCATGGTTACTTGCGGTCATGAGTCGTGGATTTTGAATGAGAAATTTCCATCCCAAACAAAAGCAGCTGAAATGGCTTTCTGTCACGAATCTTTTGTCTCACGCATCTCAGGATGTTCCTGAGTAAAGATATCTGAAACAGCCTTGGTGTATAGCAACTGCTACGTCTTCAGCATGAGAAATGACTTCTACGATTGTCGATAGTTTGGGCACGACTTACAAATGGTTTGAGATAGGAAGACGAAACAGCAATTACTTCTGTAACCGATTGGCCGAAGACCCAGGGGAGGGCGAAGAATAGCCTTGGGAAGTATACTGAAGGACTCTCCAGACTCGGGCTGTATTTAGCTGACATTCAAAAGCTGGCGCAATATCGGCTGTGTTTTAGACATTGACTGAAACTCTTGCTTCCGCTATCCGAAAAGATAAAGAATAGTTCACACTGAGTAATTGATTCACTAATTCCATAGTGCACGTTATGTATACTTGGAGCGAGTAGATTCATACGTCTCAGCCTTACGTCCAAGTATCTTTCTTTTAGCAAGATGCCTTGAATTGCATTTAGGATTATTTCTTCCTAGAAATAATTATTCATTATCATTGTTCATTGATAGGAGTAATCAGGGGATGCAGTTTTCATACTTTTAACATTTGGAGCTTAATAAATTTAATTAATATTTTTTATATAAGCAAATGACTGTTGCTGTTGAAGTTTTCATAATATATTCTTAAAAGTTGCTCTGCGGTATGAATCTTTG